TTAGTGGGGTTAGGTGATTCTAAATTACCCATAGGTGTAAATGGTTGTCTGTCTCTCTGTGTTAGCCTTGTGACAGACTTCTCACCCTGTGACAGCTGGGATAAGTGGAAGAGGATGGATGGGGTTTAAAACTATGGTGAATGCAACAATGATGGTTCATGAGATTTGCAAATCACTGCATTCTGTTTTTTCCCACCTTTTTGGGAGGTGGATTTCTACATCATTACATCTAAACAATTTCCATTATTAGCAAACACAGTATGTGTTAGTAGACCACAAACACACACTGGTTTTCATATCTTAGTGCAAACTCCAGTCCTCGAGGGCTGGTGTCCTGCAACTTTTCCATGTGTCCCTGTTGCAACACACATGAATGCAATTCATTAGCAAGACTCTATAGAACTTGCCTGCATCCTTAGGTGCCAATTCAGCCATTTGATTCACGTTACAGCAGCTCATGAGTGAATGAACATGGTGCAATAAAAGTACTTTTAGAAGTACATTTTTCCAAACACTTACATTTACCTAATTTTACTTAAGTAGAGTTAGTGGTTGCCACTTCAGCATGCAGTCAAGTTCTATAGTCTTGCTAATGACTTACTAATTGTATTCATGTGTGTTGCAACAGGGACACATGGAAAAGTTGCAGGATACCGGCCCTCGAGGACTGGAGTTTGAGACCCCTGTCTTAGTGAGAATATCTCATTGGCATAATGCTTTCCCTAGCCCACGGGTGGGCAACTTAAGGCCTCGAGGGCCGGTGTCCTGCAGGTTTTAGATGTGTCCTTGATCCAACACAGCTGATTCAAATGGCTAAATTACCTCCATAACATGTCTTGTAGTTCTCCAGAGGCCTGGTCACGAACTAATCATTTGATTCAGGTGTGTTGACCCAGGGTGAGATCTAAAACCTGCAGGACACAGGCCCTCGAGGCCTGGAGTTGCCCACCCCTGCCCCCAACCGCTTACCCCAACCATCATAAATGAATGCCTAACCATAGCCTAACTTTAACACTAAAACCACATTTTGAGCCTAAAAAATGTTTTCAAACTCATGTGGACGGGCACTTTGTCCCCATAAGTGACTGTTGGTCCCCACAAGTATAGTAGCATGCCAATTTTCTGTCCTCACAAAGATGTCTAAACATGTGTACACACACACACGCACAAATCCTTAATAGCCTTGTGTGAACTGGACTCCTCCACTTGCACTCCCTTTGGATTCTGTTCTGAGGCATTAGAATATGATGGGAGCTGTCTTATCCACTAGTCTTTGTTTAAGGATTTGTTTAAACGCAATAACAGAAAGGAAAATAAAGATCCAAAAAGTGCTTGCAGTGGTTGTAAGACGGCACTCATGTGAAGCCAAAGCTCAGGAGTAACTCGTTCCTTTAGTCTATAAAGCATGTACGCACTGTTCTCCAGCAGGATGTTGGTGTTAGAACACACTGCCCCCTGCAGCTTTGACATGAAATTTAATTTTTATTTACGATATGAAGACGTGTTTGTTGTCCCCTTAAAGGAGGTGGAGTTCCCGCAGTATGTCTATATAAATAGTTTTATGTCCTGATATAATTATGTCCTACATAGAAACTGTGGACATACCTTCTGTATCTGATAATTGAAGCCAATGCAAAACACTTTCAAGCTGCATTCTTTCTAGTGGTCAGCAGAGGGCGACCCCTCTGTTTGGAAGTCTGCCTTCTATCGTATCTGCTTTTTCCAAAAGTGACCAACAACAAATAACACAGACAGCACCACATGAAAAAGGTGTGCAGAATACAGTCTTCTTTTAATATTTCACATTACAGAGACAACACAGTCACAATCTGTTATGCTTTTTAAATATTTGCACTCAGAAAAACCTGAGTTGACCGAAGAGTTAATACTAGATGGCAAAAATATAGAGAAGTCATCAACGTGTGGCAAAAAAATAAAACTACTTCAGAAGAAATCACAGATGAATTGAACAGACCTAACCTGACACATTATACTCACGTCTGTTTTAAAGGCAGCTCAAGTCTGAAGCAAATGTGTTGTGTTCAAGTGCTTTCCTGAAGGCCCGTAAAACAGAGTCCGCTTTAAAAACTAACGGCAGTGTGCGTTTACTCTAGCTTATCCAGTGATGAAGAATCTGCAACACGCCGCTGCTTTACATTCACTCTGCGAGGACAGGTGTGCGTCGAGCTCCTGCTGACTCTGCGATTATCACGCCGGCTCATTTTTTTGTCGTTTTAATCATCACCAAGACGACAGCGAGAAGGTGTCACAACTGAAACACAGACAGTATTTCTGCTACTGTAACCTGCAGCCTCGGGCTTCACATCAAACATACGGACTGTGCGCGTGATCAAGTCAAGGTCACTTTCTGTTGTCATGGGAACCATCCTCACACAAACAGCAAATTAAACAGATAGACAGGAGGAACCATTTGGCCCGCTGTGTTCAGCATGAGTGTGCTTGTAAACGAGTGTGTCCGTCTGAAGCAGAACTACTTCACATAAAGGGGACCCATCATGTCATATAAATACACTTTTACAGTGTTGGATGTTCTTGGCTGTATATTAAAGTAAAGCTCAGGTTTCAGATTGATCTAAAGGCTCCATTTACCGTTTTTTATTTTCAGTATGATGTCGATGAGAACAGATATCCTTAATGTGGTTGTGCAGTGGCCAATCAAAGATCAATAAGGCATATTCTGAACTCTGAATAACACAAAGCTACTCTCGAAAGTCCCAGAATAAAAATATAGAACTGGAAATGAGTAGAACAGTCCCCTTTAATGCGAGAACACTCTATTTACAGACTGTTGTGCTGCCAGAGAGAATCAAAGTGTAGCACCACTAAAAGAAAACACTCTACCCAAGCTTTTGTACATGTCAAGGATCAGTTCACCCAAAATCGAAGGCAGCTTTGCTTAGAATACAGTATTTAGAATATAGTGAAGTCCAAGCTTCACTGTGGAAACCGGAAGTTACAGGCGGTTAACCAGGCCTCAGTTAACCACCTGCTTGTTGCACCTTAATCACTTCCTGTTCCTTTGTTTTTTTAATCCACACACTCAGAGTACTGCTCCTTCAGTCGTTCAGGGCCTGTGTGTGAATGAGGCCGCCTTAAAACTCCCCAGCTGCACATATGCAGCTCCAAAAAACGGGGGATTCAGATATGAAAGTATACTGCTAAGGATTAACTAGAAAAAAAGCAATTTAGGTGAACTGGCCCTTTGAAATGGCATCTACACACACACACACACACACAAAAAGTCCTAATGAAGTGGAAGACTCCACCAGACTGAAACTGAAACAAAGGGCATCCTGTGTTCCACCCTTTTTGTCATTTATCAGATTACTGCTGATTCAGCTTGGAAAAATCATCCGTCAGAAGTTTCATGAACGATCGATACTCCTGACCGATAATCTGTAAGAAAGAAATCAAAGACGGTCCTCTAAAAAGTTCTCAGTTTTGGCTGCAGGTACGCTCACCCTCCAGCCTCTCTGCTGATTCCTTGCTGTCGTCATGGACGGGAAGCAACAGAAAGACGCTCTACTCCAGCGATTTGGCGAACTCTGCGTAATCTATGTAGCCGTCATTGTTTTTGTCATCGTCCCTCAGAACGTCATCGATGAGAGCAATGAGTTCCTCCTCTTTCATTGGCTGGCTGCTCTCTCCTCTCTCCTAAACAGAGACGAGCAGAGCAGCGAAAACGATTGGACCTTTCTGTGCGCAGGAATCGTGAGGCGAAAATGTGTCACAACAATATTTTTAATCACAGCGACAGAAATAAAGGAGCAGAAAACGTGTCAGCTAATAAAACTGTTTTTTTTAATCGCTTTGGTGTCACGTTGCATGAATTCTTTGTTTCCTAAGGGGTGATGGAGCCGCATTGTCACCGATTTTGTCCCACACACAATTCCTGACACCTTCCTGAACATTTAAAAAGTTAGCGGGATAACAAAGATGAGGCTCAAAACCTACCAGCTAATTAAAGCTAGTAACGGGCTTAATGGGAGACAGTGTCAATAAAAGATTCAGAGAAGTCTCGGTGCACAGGGGACAAGGCCAAAAATCTGTACTGATTAGCTGTGACCTTTGAACCCTCAGTGTGTATTGCATTAAAAACAGACACAGAGAAGCTTGCTGCCTCCTCTGAGTCTATTTAAGTTGAAATTTAAATCTCTCCTTTTTTAAATTATTAGTGTTTCTGTCAGCACACGGGTCAAACACCAGCATCCATGGTGGTGTCTGTGAAGGCCAAGTGAGAAGACCTTATTTGTGCAAGACAATTCCTAACACACTGTGCAAATATTCCAACAGCCTGACTCCCATATAAAGAAGTCCTGGAGCTTAAAGACCGCCTGCAGTACTGACCTGTCACCCACTGAAACATCTGGTGCGTTATGAAACAAATTTAAAAATATTATGATAAGAAGAGACCCTGAACTGCAGACATGCTGATATTCTATATAAAAAAAAAAATACTAGAGCAAAGCTAACATTTACAGAGTGCTGCTAAAAGATAGGTAAACATGCCCCTGTCCCAACTTTCTGAAACACAAAGCATTTAAATGTCTCAGTCCCATCCCACAATAAGAAGGGTATGAGGAAGTGGGAAAGTAACCGTTAAGTATCCTTTTAATGCCAACTATGACAAAAAAACGTGCTCACACATGAATTCTCACCTCTCTGTGTACATGTGAGATTGCTGTTGCAAGCTCCAGCCCATCCAGCAGGTTGTTCCCATCGTAATCGTGCATTTTGAAATAGTGCAGCTGGAGCTCCTGGGGCGTCATGTCTTTCTCTGGTTTGTCTATGACGCCCTCTAAATGCTCCATGATGTGGCTGCCACCAGAGGAACAACAAACAAACACAGCTACTGATTAGACAGAACCCAAAGTTCACCTCGTCCTGAGTCGTGCACGGCCATGCCACTCACTCTTTGTCTTGAACCATGTTTCTATCCAGGCGATGTTGGCTGGCTGCACTTTCTACGATCTGCTGCTGCTGCTGCTGCTGCTGGTGGTGGTGGTGGTGGTCTGGGTTCATCTGAGCGTGAGCGCACAGAAAACAGCAGGACAAAAAGAGGAGCATACCCCCCCACTGCACACTACACCTGCTGCTCCTCATTCTGCTGCGGAAAGGCAAACACTGACAGTCAGCAAGTTCAGGAACACAGCTCTTGAATATCTATGTTGGACATCACCTTCTTACTACTCAAATGTCCTCAGTTTAGCACCTCACTTACATAAAACAACACATTTGAGTGTCCTTCTTACCGATTAACATGTTTCTCCTGATCAAACTACATTCACACCTGTTTTATAAGTTTGATATCTGGCTCTATAAGACAACAGCAAGGTGCTACAAATAAGCACCATATGTTTATGGCCCATTTTAACAAAAAACACCACAGACACACACAGTGCATAATTACATGGACCGCACTAATAGGGATGTTTCTGCAGTAACCTGTGAGATTACACTGCTATGCTAACTCAGTTAAACAGCCACAATAAAAGAGGAATGTATGACCGTTAGCTTGAGAGCCATTATAAGATAAATACAGCAACAAGCTGCATCTCAGGGCTACGCTGAAATAACATAATTTCATGGGTCATGACTAAAAAAATAAAAAAATATATATGTACTTACGTTTAAATAATTTCTATCTTCACCTGTATCCGCGAACAGTTGTGCAGTTGTGCGTAGTTTGCTGGCTTTAATGATCAATCCGAGCTTTCTCGGACTGAGCGGCTTTCCGTAGCTTCACTTTGACACGACAGCTCATTGTGATTGGCTGCAGCTATCCGAGAGCGCTCAACTGGGGCAAGATGATTCCCTCCACGTTATTCTGAATTCTTCGTCTTTCTCTGTCTAAAGCTAAAATTGGTTTTATTATTTTGTTGTGGGTTATAGTAAGATTCGTGTACAATTGCTGTACAGTAATAAGCTCAAACTAAACCTTATAGAATATTCCGTATAGAATAATTTTATATATTTCTAGTGCTTTCCGTTTTCACGAACTAGAGTTTTGATCATTTGACAGAATTTACGAATTCATGCGACAGACGTGCTGTTGAATCACCTTTAGCGGTAATAACTTGAAGGTTTTTTGTAAACTTTTAGTTTTTTGTATGACTTTACAAGCCTCTCTCATCATCGTGGAGGAATTTTGGCCCCAAAAAGTTGATTCTGGAATCTGGACGTAGCGTTTTCAGTGGGAGAAACGTTTCGTCACTCATCCAAGTGACTTCTTCAGTCTCAGCTGACTGCAGGTTTCCCCAATCTTATAAAGAGTACATTTGCACAATGATTAAAACCAGACCACTGAATGAACAAAGAGCTGTAAGGTCAGTTCCTTGATCATTTCAACCTTTTGGGATTTACCTGGATGATTGAACATGCATCAAGAATTTGGTTCATTGGGCTTTGGTTGCATTCGTTTATGCACAGCTCTCTCCCAGCACAGCCTTTCAATTAAGTTTCAATCTGGACTTTGATCCAAACCGTCACCGCTGTGCATGACACTATGAGGTGTTTGTGCTCTTATCCTGTGTTTGCTTTTGGCCAAACATCTCCAGTTTAGTCTTGAATCTCCTTATTTCCTCAGAATCAGTAAGGATGT